TTCTGACTCGATGGTACACAACAGAACAATTGTCTGGAGAAAGAAAGGTTGCTTGGAGAAGTAGAGGATCAACAAAAAAAGAGAAAAACCCTTGATGAGATGGATTTACACGGTGGTAGTGACAATGGGCTCCACAGCACTGCAATGGTTTGGAGGACGGCGGTGTTTCCTGGGGCTGCATACAGGGAGGCTATGAGTCAGAGCCGACTGTATGGCAGGCAGCAACAGCACACATGAAACATGGGGCTCTCTCCAGAGAGAGGGAGACAGTCAGGTGAGACCACATAATGCCCCAGCTATCAACAAATACGTCCTTTAACTATGGAGGCTAATATTTTACTTGAGAGATCATTTTATGCTTACCTTTACATTGTAAGTCGCTACAAACTTAAATCACAATGAGAAAGTTACTCTAAAAATTTAACTCTTTCCTGGTTTAAATTGTTATCAAAATATACTTAGTGAAAATGAGAATATTTATCAAGAAGAAAAAATCATTATGGCTAACATGCTTATTCAGACTTTTAGCTCCCATGTCTATAAGAAAACTACTTTCTTTTCTTTAAACAAAACAAAAAACCTACAGTATTTAAAAAGTTGTCCCAGCTATTGTACACACATCTGTATATAACATATGCAGGGACATGCGTATACATTATCTTAATGATCAGGCTAGATTTTTTTATAGAAGAAGGTGAATTTCTCTAAAATGAAAATGTATTAGGTCAGCAAGTACAAATAAGGTTATTACCGAGAATTTTATGGTTTATCAAGTTCAAAGGACTTGATAAAAATTTTCTGGTCAAATCTTTACTTGATTACCAATCTGAGCTTGAAGCTGGTCACTCATCACAATTATCTGTTATTATGGGTTGAATTTCATTCCCTAAACTATGTTTTGCAAACCCCAATTCCTAACTGTGGTTGGAATCCTATCTGGGAACGTGTTTTCTTTGTTAATAAACCCTATCAGGCATGTGAGATGTTTTGAGCTGACCACCTTTAAGATAGAAAAAGAACAGAGAGGGCACAGAGAAGCAGGAACACAGATGCCTTGGCATGTGAAGTAACACAAGGGCCAAGGAAGAGAAGCTGAAAACAACAAAGCCCTTTCCAGGGCGGGGGACACTCCCTCCTTTGGAGTTGGCTCTCTAAATTCAGACCTCTACCGTCCTGAAGGAGCACTGGTGGCACAGAGATGGCAGTCTTGGTGGGTGGGATCATGCAGATAAGGTGAATGGAATAATAACATGGCACATGGTCAGCTTTCCCCTCCCACAAGGTTTAAAATCAGCAAAGTCGCACGCCAGAGATGCATCCTTTCACCACACCTTTTCAATCTAGATGCAGAACGGTCACCTGGAAGGCTGGACTTTATGAAGGGGAATGCGGCATCAGGATTGGGGGAAGACTCAGCAACACCCTGTGCTGTTGAAGGGCAGGGGCAGTCTGACCTCACACAGGAACTGTCCTCGGGCTGCTGATGGTCACAGCTCTTCTCCCTTCTCATGACATGAGATAAGGTCACAGGATTTCAGTGCCACTGTCCCATGCCATTTTTGTAACTGCTCACAGTCATTTCTGGGTTTTGCTAAGAAGAATGGTCATGCAGACTTAGTTCTGCACTATTTTAGATAACTGGGGATTTCCTGTGAATGCAATACTCAAACTGGGAAACAAGTTATCATGCACCATGTTTAAAAGGAGGAAAACCGCAAAGTCTACTACACTTTATTAACTCACTAGAATACTCAGTAGAATATTGTAGCCCATGAAAGTCATACAGGCGATGGAAAGCTATGGAATGCATGGAGTAAAGAAGAAGATGAACTGTCAAAATCAGACCTATAACCACTAGACATTTTAGTGGACAAATACTTCACGGAAACTGGTAAATCTGCATGCTAAAATTACTAGGGTCTGTCCTCTCCAATTTATTATGTTTCATTTCTATAATAACTAAAAGGGATAAAAGAATTCTAAATCATCTGGCCCAAGCTCATATCTTTATAAATGAGAAAACGAAAAGCCTGAAAGGATGATTTTGTTACTATTGCTGGGTCAACTGGTGCATCTGTTTCTATACACAGCAAACCCACCCAACAGAGAACAACTACCCGAGTCATTTTCTGGGTTGTAATCTTTAGAGAAGCAGATTGTCAAATCTTTCTCCCATGGAGCCAGAAGATGAGTTTGACAAGCAAACCATGTGGTAGCATTCAAACACTTAACCAGTATACCACTAGAGCTCCTCTGTTAGATAGGAGGGACTTTAAAAAAAAAAAATTTCAAAATTTGAGCAATGGGTGATTAGCAGAAAAAAAGACGAGAAATTGTTAACTTCCCTTTCTCCTAAACAAAAATATACCTGATGTAGATGTTAAAGGTCTTTAAAGGAATTTTGTGAATATAAGAAATTCTGGTCTACATAATTTTATAGGAAAGACAGTATCATCAGAAGAGGACGAAAGCACATTCACTTATGTTTGCAACCATGTCAAATAATTTAGTAACTGCCAACTTGAAATACAATGCCTGATACAGGCCATGGTTTTTGCAATCACTTGTTATGCATCAGAGAGCTGGACAATGACCAGGGAGGATAGAAGGAGAATTGACGTCTTTGAGCTGTGGTGCTGGAGAAGAGTATTGAATGTACCATGGACTGCCAAGAAAACAAACAGACTCATCCTAGAGAGGGTTAAACCAGGCTGCTTCTTGCATGCAAGGATTCTGGGGCTTCGCCTGACATACTCTGGACATGTTGTAAGGAGAGACAGGTCTTTAGAGAGGGATATCATGCTGGGTAGAGTAGAGGGACAGCACAGGAGGGGAAGACCCTCTATAAGGTGGATTGATTCAGTGACTGGGGTAATCGGGATGGGTGTGTCAGAGGCAATGAGATTGGCACAGGATAGAGCACGGTTTAGGGCTGTTGTACATAGGGTCGCTATGAGCCGCAAATGACTCAACAGCACATAACAACAACAACTTTATAGATACTTTAAAGACAGACAGGTTTACTCCTTTGATCTGTTCTGTCATAATTAGTAATAAGCTTCCAAATTCATACTTCATCCTGGGACCCTAGCTCTTACTGTATCACAAAAAGAAGCATCTCTGAGGTTGTACCAGCAGGTGTACAGAAACAGCTAGACCTTTTGGGAGGATGAATCCAAGACAGAGGTGCAGACTTTCCCTCTCACAGGATGACTTCAAAGGGATCAATAATAAAGGCAGAGGCGCCACAAGAGCAGAAAGACTACGAAATCTTCCTGGTAAGAAAGGGTGGCAATCCCAGCACAGAGTGACAGTGGGGTGAGAAAGTAGAAGACAGAGTCAGAGAAACCGAGGATCCCACATGGATGGGAACTGAGAACTGACCTGACCCAGAGGTGGGGAGTGAAAAAAAAGAAGGAATTTGGTTTGGTTATCTCCTAGGTGTTTGGTATACGCTTTTGGTAAGATTGTGTGGGATGCATCTGCCCCAGGAGGGCATTAATGGCAGAATCTGGTTTTTTTTTTTCAGATTCAAGCAGCTACAAAGGTCTTCACCAGGTGGTAACATACATAATAACGAAAACAGAAGCTTCCTTTTGCATTCCAATCTTCATTAATTATCAGTGCACCTTTACTGCATGTTATATCAATTTCAGATGCAGAAGTTGGTAGACATCATCAATGTCTTCATTTTTGGCATGAGCAGCTAGTGTGTTGATTTGAATAGTAAATAGAATTAACTAATCTTCTTTGCAGGTGTATAGGTATTATCACTTATGGTGCTATACTTCAAGATAGATTTTGAAATGTCCTTTTTGAATGATGAATTTAACATTGTTCCTCTTTAATTTGTCATTCATGGTATAGTAGACCATATATATGACTATCCAAATCAAATAGGCCAGTATCAGTACATGTCAGCTCACTAATGCCTAGGATATCGATCTTTATATTCTACTTCATTTCTGACAAATACAAATATTCGCAGATTCGTATTTTATGCATTGTTGTTGTTTTTGTTGTTGATTGCCTTCGAGTCAACCACAATTCATAGCAACCCTATGAACAAAAGGCTTGAAGCCTTTCTGTAACTGTCGACATTTATCAAAGTTCACAGAGTCTCAGGAGGCATGCTATTTAGGCTACAGCATTACACATTCAAATTCCCAATGAATGTTTGTGGCTGTTTCTCCTCATTTTGGGTTGTACTTCATTACCAACTGCAAGTCGTAGAAGCTTTTAATACAACCACACCATTAAAGTGGGCTCTACTTTGAAGAAGCAGCTGTTCCCAAGTTGTATTCTGGAAAAATCTTCCAACTTGAAGGGCTTATCTCTCAGTTTCAGCCAATGTTTTGTTACTCTTCATTAGGCTCCCCCAGACAACTTTGGGTGGGGGGTGGGGGGGCATTAAAAAGAAGATCATCAGGTCGTCTTCCCAGTCGGCCTGAGTGTGGAAGCTCTGCTCACAGCTCTCCATGATGGGTGGCCCTGCTGGTATGTGAAATACCAGTGGCATAACATGCAAGACAGACATTAGGACAGACTAACAGACGAGCCATACACATAAATCGTTTTCTACTTTTACTACAGATTCTTTACTCTCAAAATGGTGTAGACGGGTATGTGCGCACACGCGCGTGGGTGTATGTGTGTGTAAGCGCACACTTTGCTACTATTTACTGAGTTTAAATCAGACTTTTACGCACAACCATCTAAAATGTTTTTATATTAATCAGTTCCACATTTTGTTTTTTACTTAAGGATTTCGTTAAAAAAACAGACTTAAGGTGTTTCCAGCTTCACACAAGCCACCACAATACAGAAACTGACAGATGAGTGACCCAGGCCATACCAATTTCAATTGCTCCATATGCATGTAAAAGTTGAACAATGAACAAGGAAGAGCCAACAACTGATGCATTTGAACTGTGGTCCTGGTGAAGAATACTGAATATAACACAGATTGACAAAAGAACAAGTAAATCTGTTTTGGAAGAAGTGAAGTCAGTGTTTCTTGAAAGCAAGGATGGAGAGACTCTGTCTTCCATACTTTGGACCTTATTAAGAGAAGTCAGTCCTTGAGAAAGAAAAGTAAAAGTAGACAGAGAGTCAACAACGGAGAGGAAAACTCTCACGGAGAAGAACTGTCACTGTGGCTGCAGTGATGAATGATGAACGATGAACGGGCGAGGCTTGGCGGAGGCGATGAAGGTGGTGAAGGATGGGGCCAGGCTTCGTTTTGTCAACCAACGTGTCGTGATGAGTCACACTTGACTCAGTGGCATCTAACAGTAACAACGGTACCTTCACAACGCACAGCAGGATTAAATAAGTAGGTAAAAAAAAAATGTGGCAGAAGTAGGAAAGGGTGGCAAAGTTAGGAGGCTTTCTAAGGTTCATCTCCAAAACACATTACTGTGATGCTGAATCATTTGCTATCAGAGGACTCCACCTTGCTCCAGGTGTTCTACGGACCAAAGCAAACAGGAAAGCAATTTAAGCTCAAGGGTGTGACACCTTCTGGAATGTACATTTCATTTATTATGATTAATGCCCCCAAAAGATGGAGAAAATATATTTTATAAAATACATTTAAAATGCTGAACGGAAGGTGCATGCTTCATCTCTTAGAGTAGCTGAATGACTCATACTGATGTAGTTTCTTTCCCAGTCAGATTGAACAGAAGAGTGACTCAGTGTTGGTAACTGGTAAAAAATTTAAAGACAACTTCATAAAAAAAAAATAGCCTTAAGAAAGAAACAATGGAAAAGCAGAACTTACCAAATAAATGTCCTAAACTTGCATCCATTTTAATTTCAAATACTTGAGATATAACATAAAATGTCAGTAAAAACACTGCCACAGCTACCACCAACTTCGCAGCACCTACAGAAAAAGCAGAAAATAATTCAGTCTAAGAGCCCACAGGGCTATTACTCACTTCCAAGAAAAAGAAGTTTCACAACAGAAACATTAAGATTAGTAATTTCTACTTTTTAATCTATTAATTTTACTTGAGTTACAGGGAAAAAAAGTTCCAATAATCCATCAAGATAAGGTATTTTCCTGGTCAGAGACTTATCAGATTGGCTAGCAACTGAGAAACAGCCTCCAAGAGTCTTCTTTCCAATTTTATGTGCAAATAAATAAATAAAATCTATTTCCATCAATCACTGCCATATTACACAGAAGTGTCTCACCATTCTTGGAACGCTACCACCAAGTTGTTGGATGACACATCACAAAGCCTTTCCAAATACAAAGGCCAATATGAGGATATTACAAAATCACTGGACTTCCTGGAGACACTAGACAGGCCAGGAGGTTCTCAAATCAAGGCACTGCCAAGTTAAGCCTAGCGGGTATGGTCCTGTCCTTTCAACAACCAATGGAACTCCTGAGCAAGCAGGTGCTTGCCTGGTATGGGGAACAACTAAGCCTCCCCACTCAGCTAATACCTAGTTTACGGGTCTTTAGTTTAAGAGTCTTTCAGGAATGTCTTCCTACACTTGCCCCTAAGACAGAAACTGGCTCCTTTCATGTAAGCCTCATAGTCTCACATGGGAGGGGACTTTGGCCTTTTTATATACCTTCATCTCTTTAATTCTTTTAAGTGCCTTATTGATAGTTACTATGGAATTTTTGATTCAGTGTGATTCTGATTCATTATTTGAGGGTGGTTGTTTTTTTTCCATCCTCCAGAAATTTAGGAAAATGTAGGAAAGGAAATGATGATGACAGAAATGAAATGCCTCTTATCATTAGGATTTCAGCAGCGTGGTACGTACTATGTCCTTCTCTGCCTGTACAGAGGTCTCCAACCCTCTTTCTTACCAAAATGTTAACTCACATTGATATAAAAAAGAGATGGATGGTTTAATTCACAGTGAGGCATTGTCTGTAGCAAGCTGAGCTCGTAATCCAAAGGCCATACAGGGTTCCCTGGTAGTTCGAATCCACCAGCAGCTCCACTGGTGAAAGACGGGCAATCTCCTTCCTGTATAATTTATAGCCTGTGTGGGAAGCTCGCTGGAGGGTCAGCTCTGCATAGGAGGTTCCAACTCGAGAACAATGAGAGAGAGAGAAAGGAAACAAAGGCCCAGAGGAGCTATAACTCCTCCAGATACCAGACTTAGCTTGCTGGCAGTTCAAGGACCAGGGACCCAGGGATTCTAATGCAGCCCAGTGCCTTACACAGTACTACATTATTGTTGTTAGGAGCTGTGTAGCGACCCTATGGACAACAGATCTGAATCCTGTCCTGTCCTGTGCCATCCTTACCATCACTGACACATGTAAGCCTACTGACACAGTCACTGTGCTACTCCATCTCGTTGAGGGTCAGCCTCTTTCGCTTTCCAAGTATGATGACCTTTTCCAAGGAACAGCTCCAGCTTAAGTCAAATTATAATATCCTTCAAAGAAGCTTCAACACATTTGGTAAGAGTGAAAAAGAAATCAATTCATTCTACACTCCATAAACCTGAAGAGATTAGGACCACATCCTTAGTGGGGAGGGAAGGAAGTGACGAGGCGCGGAAAGGCTTCATGTCTAAGACTTACCAACCGTTCTTAGAGCCTACTCATTTCTTGTAAAAACATTCTCTAAATATAGAAGTGACACAGCAATGAGGAAGTCACAAAGTCCCCCTTCTGCACCCTATTTTCTACCTTCTTTGCCCCCAAAATTGTGCCAGTTATTTATGAAAGCAGCTACAAGCTGCCTAAGAGTCAAGTTCCAGTCAACTGAGTTTTCCTTCCCAAGAGCACAGCCAAAAAAGCCTCTTACACAGAAGTATGTTCAACCACAGTTTGCTAAAACAGATGGATGGTGACGAGTGACACATTGTTCTTTGTGCATTTAAGACCAAGATCAAGAATGCGAACCACACTTCTCATGATACTCTTCTTGTCTGTTGTTGTGTACCAGAGAGTGAGAACCGACCCACAGTTAGCTTACCCTCCAGCGGGTTTTCAGAGATAGTAAATCACACAGGAGGAGACTGTCCATCCTTCTCCAGAGGAACATCTGGTGGATTCGAACCATGTGCCTTTGGAATTTCAGTGTGGTTTCTTACCACTAGACCCCCAGAGTTTTTCAGCAATCACTGGCAAACACAACTAGATATAAGAGAACCGCTCTATTTCCTGAAGCAGTTCTATAAAACCTAGATTGTCCAAAATGAAAATATTAAGTGATTAAAAGAAAAAGCTTATAATAGTTCTAGACTAAATTTCCTATCAAGTTAAATTGTTTCTGGGTCTATCGTAACAAATCCACACACATATTCTTTTACTTCACAGCCGCCAGTAGTATGAGTTATAAGGTTAAATGTTTTACAATCGTCATTTTATTTGCACAGCTTTTCAAGACACTATCTTCCTTCCACAAACAAGGAAAACAGTCAACACAAATTTGGATCACTTGTCTTGGGTAAAATACCTAGTGAATGGTAGAAGTGAGTCTTAACCAAGACCTATGTACTTAAATAGGAGCGTCAGAGGCCGCAACCTGACTCAACCCGACCAGACTCTGCTCCCTGAAAGCCAGACTGACACTGTGAGCCACATTTCCAGCATCATTCATGCCTCCAGTAGAGCACAGAACACCAGGGTCAACAAACTGCTCAAACAGGAACATCAACTAGATGAGTCTGACTTTCTCTCTTGGGATTTTACTGGAAAGAGAGTTAAGTTAAATGGATCCACAGGGAAAGTTGAGAAGTAGAAAGCATGGGGCTGCTAACAGGAAGTATAAGGGTGAAAGAGATATGAGATGGAGAAACTTAATGCTGAAACTTTCAGATGATCCCTGAGGAAAGGGAATCATCTGAGAAAAAAAACCCCAACAAAACCAATAAGACACACAATTCTTGAGTAAGGGTAAAGCACAGCTTCTGGAAAAGAAAGGATTCTGGGAATTCCTGGCAGGGGGCCTCCCAGTACAACACTATGAATCCTATTTTAAAGATTCCTTTTCCCTTCCAGTTACGGTCGGCACTAATCTAAGTCTGTTCTAATTTTTCAAAACCACAAAATTTTTCAAAAAGAAGACAAATTTTAGACTGTGATATTTCACTGTCAAAGTGGATGCTACAGGGCTACCTCAAAATGATTAAACTCTAAAAGGAAAGCAAAAGGGTATTTTTTTGCATTACAAGAAATTAATTAGTTAAAAACAATAAGCTAATGACCAATCTTTGCTATTCTTTCATTAGCAATCCCTCAGGACCCATCTAGGAACAGTGCCAAACAAAATAAACACTCAGGCGACAATTAACAGGAGCATCAACTGTTACATCATCAGAAATGGACTCGATGACAGCATTCACTTCAACAAGAGAGAAATCTGCTCTTTCAAAATCATTACTTGAAAATAACATACTTTCAAAATCACCTGAATACAGACCTGGCTAGCTGACATGTAGCTGCACTCAGACATCATCACAAAAGACGGCATAACCCACAAACAAGTTCTTAGTTTCTGGAACACTTTTCTTCAGTTAATTGTATAGCCTGGGGACTCAAATTTTCAAGAGCCTTTGTTCTCACAAAAGCACTTGTGAAATCACTCTCAAGTATCTTTGATGCTGTTGTTTACACAGCTTGATCACTTGCACTAGAATCCATACCAGTATGACTGAGATAAGAAGAAGCTGTTACCCACCTTCAAAGTGGGCTCTGCTAAGAGGTACCCCCACAGGAAAAAAGTGCTGCTGAGACAATGATAATGAAAAGAAAGACTATGCATTTCAGTATTGTATACTTTCTCTCCTATACCGGAGACGTGTCTTAGAAAAGACTATGCCAAGAGAAACATATTCTCGGTAAACCTAAAAAGGAGGCATCAGCCCCTCCAGCTGTCTATGTATCTGTCTTCTGATGTTTTACACTTTGATACTGTAAACATCATGTGACAGTATCCAATTATCAGAATATGCTACTGAAGGCCCAGAGCAAGGCATTTATACATAACCTAACATACACATAGTGACTCATAGCGACCCTATGTACAAGAGCTCTAAACACCTTTCTATCCTGTGCCAACCTAGCCATCTCAAATGCACTTATTCCCACCATTCCAGTCACAGAATCGATCCATCTCATTGAAGGTCTTCCTCTCCTTCGCCACCCCTCCACTCTGCCAAACATGATGTCCCTCTCCAAGGACCAGTCCC